TTCCTTGCCTCTCTCTTTTTCCTACGCCCCAAGTGCCCTGCTTTTGCCTGGGTAACTTGTTTTCTGAAGCCCATTGCCTCTATCTCTGTGACTTTCTAAAAAGACGCTGGTATAGTTTTGAGTCTTGCCTCTGAATTCTTTCTTAGCCGGAACTCAAGTAGGGAGGTTGCTGAACTGGTCTGACTCCACCACCTAACGGTTAGGTCCTAACCCTTGGTGCTGTTAACGCCGCCGTAATAACTGCATGCAACTCTTTCCTGTATTTAACAGCCTTTCGTTTTATTTACCTTCATGCGACTAGCTCCACCTTCCAAAAGTTTCAGGTGGGCAGGCAGAAGGGTGCCTATTCTCTGTGAAATTGAACGCAATGGTTTTAAACACCGGCCAGAAAAATGTGGGCTCGCCATTTCAACGCATAGAAATAGTGACGTGGATGCCTAGATTGCCATTTTCGGCAAAAAGCTGTGCGATTCTGGTGTCAAAGATTAGACAGTCGCTACTCATAATGGCCGTTGCGATGCCCTCATGAATCGATCGGGGAGTGTCTTCCCAAGTCATCCGCCGCCTCTGGCCGTTCAGCTCGAGTCGATAAGCAAACTTTTCCGCCTGCTTGCGCGTCCCCATCAGCTGCACGATCGCGAAGAACTGCTGGTGCCCGTCGCACTTCTCCTGCTTCTTCAGGACCAGCATGAAGTGGAAGCCGAAGCAGGCCTGCATCATCACCCAGTCCACAGAGCCGGGGAGGTTGATGTCGGTGGCGAGGAACACGATGTCCTCCCCCTGCAGGGTGGTGATGGACTTGTGCTGATGCATCAGGTGGGGCATCACGGCATCCAGGGAGCCCTGCCACTGGCAGGACGCGCCGGGGCAGGGGCAGGCGTACAGCCGGAACGCACAGAGCTCTTCGTGGTCTGCCTTTTGGGTGTGCGGCAGAGTGATTTCACACCCCGAAATGGCGTGTTTGCAAGGGAACAGGACCGAGTTGGCCACCTTCTCCATGGCCAAGTTGCGGATGGTTCCCAAGGGGCCCCGGCAGGTCGGACAGCAGGAGAGCTTGGGGCGACAGTTGCTGCAGACCAGGTGGCCGCTCTGACACTGCAGAGTGGGGGGGAGCGCGTAGTCAAAGCACACGGGACACTCAAAGAGACTGGCCAGGTCATGGTTGGACGCCACGGCGCCCGGCCGGGTGGGCACCTTCCGGGAAGGGGTGCACTTGGAGGTCCCGGTGGGTAACGCGGTGGACGTCCGGCGGCTCATCTGCAGGAACGTGGCCCAGGTGTTCCACATCCTGAAGGTGTAAGTGTGGGGGAGTCGAGAGAGGACCCCAAAGTACCTGAGAAGCGAAGCCCGGGGAAACCAAGGCTTATCACCGAAGGCCCGA